TGTGGGGGGCCAGCCGTTCACTCTTGTGCCTAGTGACAACGGGGCGAGCAGTTTTGCCATTAGGCTCCGAGCTGGAGAGGCTAGGGGGAAGCCGGAGGCTGGGTTCGCCCTGTCCCAGGTCCTTCCACGCACGGAAAACACAAACAGGCAGGAAAGCAGCAGCCCAAGGAGGCCAAGTCCCCCAAAAATAAAATAAAGAGAGAAAAAAAGGAGGGGAAAAAGAGAAAAAAAAAAGAGATGCCAGCCCCAGCGTGTTACCATGGGGATGGCGAGGAGGATGCTCCATCCCTCCGGGAGGATGCTCGACCCTGCTGGGAGGATGCACAATCCTGCCAAGAGGATGCTCTGTCCCCCCGGGAGGTTGCTGCATCCTGCCATCGGCTCGGGGGCAGGGGATGGGAGAAACCTCCTCGCCCCTCTTGCCACGCCGAAGGCTCATGTCGGCTGTGGGGGCCGAGAAGGCCCCGGCCCTGGCAGAAGCAGCTTCAGTGGGGCCCCTGTGTGCCTATATGGGGTTGCAAATCCCATATACGAGCAGGGGCATTGACGTAGAGGAAGTGCCAGGGAGGACTGTCATTAGGCTTCAGAGTGAACACCCTCTGCAGGCTGCCTAGCTGGGACTTACACCCACTCTGTTCACCTTGCCCTGAGCTTCTCAGCACCTGAGGGGGTGGCAGGGCCCCTGAGTGTGTATAGCACTGCACGGCCCATATACAGGCAGGGCTGCTGGTGCACAGGAAGTGCAAGTGAGGCCCAGCATTAGGTTTCAGAGTGAACCCCCTGCAGGCTGCCTGGCTGGGAGCAGCACCTGCTCTGTGCACCTCACCCTGAATGTCTCAGCACTGGAGCGAGTGGCAGAGTCCCTGAGCGCGTACCCAGGGCTGCGCGTGCTGTATACAGCCAGGGGTGTTGACACAGAGGAAGCGTCCGGGAGCCATCATTAGGCTTCAGTGTGAACGCCCTGCAAACTGCTCAGCTAGGAGCTGCACCTGCTCTGTTCACCTCGCCCTCAGCACCAGAGCGGGCAGCAGAGCCCCTAAGTGCGTGCAGGAGGCTGTCGTCCCGCATACAGCCAAGGCCATTGACGCAGAGGAAGTGTCAGCGAGGGCTATCATTAGGTTTCAGAGTGAACGGCCCACAAGTGGCCCAGTTAGCGCCGGCCCCCACTCCGCTTGCCCAGCCCCGC